CAGGGAAAATGAACCGCCCAACAAGAGCCAAAAGGAGGCCATGCAACCTTTCCCAAAAGGGATGATCGATGTGGAGGGGAAAAGAAACTTTAGGGTTTCAAACATGGAGCGTAGTCTTAGTGCTGAGTACTATCCTCAAAGGGATCAAGTTTCCTCCCCACAAAGATCATCTCAAAACCCTGACCACTGCCCTTCGGGCTGCCACGGGCCGCAACTTCGGGCGCTCAAAGCAAGTCATGGGAAGAGAGGTCAACGGCGAGGCTCCTTGAAGAGGCGCCAAGGGGATGGGCATGGTTTTCGCTGCAACTTGGTTGGCCGTGCTGAGCAATTGCACGGACTTGAAGGAGATCCGATCGAGGACTTCTCTGTTGAGGACCTTGGGCTCGAGCCGCCAACTGAGGTTTTGGGTGCCGGGCGACACGCCATGGAGAACACGGCGAGGTCGTCAGGGAGTTCGGCAATGGGAACTTCTTCACTGCCGACCTCTATGGCAACTAAGGGCAAAGGCCACCGTGGCCATGATGATGGCCAGCCTGGTCATGGAAAGGGCCAAGGAGGCCACTACAAAGGCCAACAAGGCCAGATGGATGGTCAGCTTGACCAAAAAAGGAAAGGGCACTGGCAAGGTGTCTGAACGTGGTAGGGTAGCAATGATGAGCCCTACAACTTCAGCCATTTGGGCTGGAACAGAACCCCAACCGCTTGGACCAGTCCAACAACGTGGACAAGCAGCAATGGGGGTAAGGACAATGAGGGGTAGTCGCTTTGGTTTTGAGTACGTGCCGATCCGCAACTATGATCCACGTCTTCGAGACCCAGAACCACAAGAGCGACCTCCAAGACCACTGGCGCAGCACGTGGACGAGACGCAGTCTGATGGGAGCTATGAGCTGCTCTCAGAGGTTGCAGATGAAGAGCAGCCCCCACAGACCAGAAGCATGGTGCAATGGCTATGCCGCCACCAGGTGGAGATGGAGATGATCCTGGCCGAGACCGTCGAGAACGAGTTCCAGAACGGGACAATGGGCCGGATTCTCCGCCAGCTGATGATGATGATGATGATGAGGATGAAGAAGAACATCCACGGAGCACATGTACAACTTTGAGCTTCAAGAGGACGCGGATGGCGCACTGTGGCGACTGGTTTCCTGGTTCCCCTTGACATTGGTTCAAGGGACGCGGCAAGGGCTCCAAGCAGAATGTGGAGACTGGCGAGGAGGGCTCAACAATTTTGCATGGCGCTCGCAGCCCCAACATGTCTTGGCAAAGAATATATGCCAAAGGCTGCAGGCCGCGTCAGCTTTTCACTGGCAACCAGGCTGGAAAGGGAACTGCCCAATCAGCACCAACGTTGACGGGCAGAGGAAACGACCCTGAGGAGCAAAGACGCAATGTCTTAGTGGCCACAGCCTCTGCACGAGCTGCTCAAGCACTACAAGCAGCTGATGATGCGAACAAAAAACAATGATGACCCAGAAGCAGTGGCACAGGCTGTGCAAGTTGACTATGTGTCTGCTGTTCAAGCCATGGCAGACGGTGGAGTTCTCCCAGCTCAGGGCAAGCCTATTGCAGTAGAAGAACTACAAGAGCACTACGCGGCAAAAGGGAAAAAAGGGCACAGGGAAGCAAGCTCTGGAGCCCTATGTAGATGGCTTGGATGAAGATGGTGGCGAGACTGCCGAGGAGGAGGTCTCTGAGAATGACATGGAGGTCATCCCGGAAGAGGACGAGGGCGATGGTGATGATGGTGGGGCCGATCGGCCTGCTGATGGAGCACCTGCTCTTCCGATGTCCTCTACAACAGACCCACCAGTAGCCACCACAGCAACCGAGGTGGCAACCACTTTGACCACTGCGGATGACCCAGTGAATGTTGAGGAAGAGGTTGCAACGCAGTGCCAGTGAACGTTGAAGAAGAGGTCAATGTGGAGCAGGACACAGAGGTGGAAAATGCGCTGCCTCCAAGGCGGATGCGCAATGACCCAGAGCATGAGATGGTGCCAATGGTCCCAGGAAGTTTGGGGCAACGGATGCGGGGAAATGCAAGTTTGGGGATGGCACCAGCGCCTCCAGCTCAACATGTGCAACAGGTGATGACAGCGCTGATGCAGGGCCAAACAATTCCTTTGACGTATGGACGTTGGGTCCAGCGGGATCAAACCAGTTGGGTTGGATCCATGCAGACCTATAGATATGGTGTGCTCAATGGGTTGCAGGTGGAGATGGACTTCGCGCAGGTGGGCTTGATGCTTCGCAGGCCAGTTGTTCCTGGGGTGACGCATTCGCTTGCGCTCCAGGGAAATGTGGTGGCTGTGCCGAAGAATGGGCTGACCAGAGAAAGCACAGAAGAAGAGGAGGCTGACCCAGGGGTTCCGTTTGAGCACGGGATGGTTCAACCTGGAAGAAAACCGCCACCTCAGGCTTGGTTTCAGCGACAGAACATGCAGGATTGGATGAACCGCATGGCCAAACCACCAGCAGTTCCACCACACCATGCAATGCCAGGACCACCACCAGCGGGCCCACCACCTCATGTGATGGCGGGACCACCTCCAACAGGTCCACCTCCTAGCAAGGCAATGCCGAGGGCAGCTCAGACCTATGTGCCTGGACCTCCACAAGTACAACCACCAATGGCTGCTCCGATGCAACAACGACTGCAAGGTTGTGCAGGTTATGGTGGAGATCAAGGTGGCAGCTTGCGGCCACCGCAACAACAGATGATGGAGGAGCCCAGTCAGGGTTCAACTTTGTCCCATATGTTGCGGATGACTGGCGAACTTCGAGCAGAACGAGGAGTTCAGCCAGCCAAAGCTGCAGCGAACCTGGGTTTGAGATCGGTGCCGCGACCGCCAATGACGGCATCGAAGGCTGCAGCAAGCACCACAAACGTCAATGTGGGGCGCCGAGAAGAGTCTTTGGACAGGGTGACGGTGAGATCCGATTCACCGGCCCAGTCCGTGACCTCGAGCTCTACGGCATGATCCAAGTGGAGCGCAATTTTGAAAAGATGCTCTTTTGAGGGCCGGACAATTTTTGGCAGGGTTTTTACTGCCGATAGATCAGCCGAGGTGTGAGTCTTTACATGCCAAGGTTGACTTTGAAAAGTGCGAGCCCTTACGCACTGTAGTTTTTCAGATTTTAAGACCAGTGCACCTAACAACAACCTGGTGCTACTGGCCAATCTTCGTAAGAGCCTTGAGCCCGGACCCCTTTTTAACACGACAAAGTCGTGGGGGGAGTGCAAAAGGGTTGCAAGCTGGACAGGTGTAGTATCTGTTCTTGCCAGTGTGACATACACACAACAACTTCTATACCAACCAGGCTCTTTAAGGATCAAAAGTCGCGCTGCTCTGCCTAACACACTAATAATATTTATTTATTAGAATTATGGATTCGTAAGATAGGGTTATTAAAGGGTAGGGAATAATGTCTATTGGTGTCTATTGTTTTGTTTTTTTTGATGTTGTTCTTCGCTTGGTTTGTTTTTGTTTTTTTGGTTGTTATAGGAATTCTTGGAAAAGACATTTAAGAAGATAATCATATTTATATGTAATGGATAAATTTTGTAGATACTGTGTTAGCGATTTACCAATTGATAATTTTGAAGATGGATTGAAGACTTGTAAGACATGCTTGGAATACAAGAGAAAGAACTATGACAAACATAAAGATAAAGTGAATGAAACACGAAGAACTAAATATAAAGAAGATGAAGAATATAGAAAAAAGAAACAGGAACAAATACAAAACTATCGTGATAAAGTTGCCTTTTGCAATGTATGTAATTCATCAATGAAGGCACAATGTTATTCAAGACATTTAAAAACAGAGAAGCATAAAAGGAATTTAGGAACGGTTGATGGATAGGATTTTGTAAAATGAATAAGGTAATAATGCTTTTGACTGCTATGAATTTGAAAGAATGAATGAGGTAAGTATGCTTTGACTGCTATGATTTTGAAAAATTGACTGAGGTAAGTATGCTTTGACTGCTATGATTTTGAAAAATTGAATGAGGTAAGTATGCTTTGACTGCTATGATTTTGAAAAATTGAATGAGGTAAGTATGCTTTGACTGCTATGATTTTTAAAAATTGAATGAGGTAATTATGTTTTGATATTGTTGAGAAAAATGAAGCAATTAACAATATATAAACTGGCTTTTTGGACTGTTATGTTTTTTTTATTGAATAAATTTTGATTTGTTATACTGCTATGATATTAGTTTAGAAAACTTCACTGAATCAACTTGTTTTACATTTTTTTCACCCACCCCCACCATCCCGGCCCTACCAGCCAGCCAGCCCATCCCGGCCCTACCAGCCAGCCCACCCCACCCCACCATCCCGGCCCTACCAGCCAGCCCACCCACCCCACCATCCCGGCCTACCAGCCAGCTAGCCCAGCCAGCCAGCCCAGCCAGCCCAGGGCCATGCCAGCCAGCCCAGCCAGCCAGCCAGCCCACCCACCCCACCCACCCCACCACACCCACACATCCGCCCTACCAGCCAGCCAGCCACCCACCCCCACCATCGGGCCCTACCAGCCAGCTCACCTAACTTCTCTTCCACCTCCAGCCCTACAATGCCCAGCCCACTCAAGCTCAGATAAGAGGAGGAGAAGAAGGAGAAGGAGGAGAAGGAGGAGGAGAACAACTGTGATAAAATCTAACAACCCTCACCTGGCAGGTGGGGAATAATGAAACAAATGAATATCCATTTGGTGAATACAAATTCAATGATAATATTGATGGAAAAAATGAAAGTACATTTGGTGACTACAAATACAATGATCATATGGATGAAAAAAGAATGATAAAGGAAATGAAAAAATGATAAAAATAATTAAAGTAATATTAAAATCATCTGTCCCTGCTAGAGGCTGAAAGAATTTTATAAATTTAATCTATCTTAATATGATTTAATTAGTATAGGCAATATAAATAAGTCATGATGAGTCTGGCATGTGGCGTGATATGCTTCCAAATGCTGCTGTGCCTCGTGTTCCGCTGCCGTAAGAATCGCTGCTATCAGCTCTTCATCCCAGTCAGCGGCAAGAAATGCTGTGAGCAGGTCCTTGTTGCAGAATTCTACTCGAATTGATTCAACACACGTAACAGAATGATCAGAATGATCAGAATGTAACAGCGGGGGGTCTAAAAATGACGAACAACAAAAAACGGTCTCATGATGTACGTCTTATGCAAGCTTCAAATCATTTCAGATCAGCTCCTCATGTAAGTCTCGATATAAATCCTGCTCAGCTCCTCATCATGTCTTGAGCTCTACAATCTCTACAACTCCGACTCCGTATGTCCTTGGCGCTGTTGTCGCCAGCTGCTTCCAGAGGCTTCTGGAGAAACACACCACGAATTGCCGGCCTCAGATTGCCGGAACATGCTGGAACCATTGCAATCGTCCATGGCGTTTGAGTGATGACCTTTGAAACTCGGCTGGGTATGGCATGTGGCATGGGTTGTAAAGTTTGGTGCAAAACTGAGAAAATCCTACACTGGAAACTAGCCTTCGAAACAAGAAACAATAAAAAAGAATTAAAACACCGTCCACGTAAGTTAACTTGATATAACTTACTGTAATAAGTTCCAATATATAAGTTTATATAAGTATATGGTCTCGAAATGTCTCGAAACGACCGAAGAAACAGAACGAGCACTGGGCGATCCACTTCAGCATGCGCACGAGCTCCTGTCGTCTGGCCTCTGGTGCCTTGGGACTTCGAAGCTTCGAACATCTTTAGACATATCAAATATATTCAAATATACTTATCAAATCAATTTTCAAATCTATTCAAAATTATTCATAACATCAAAATCATCAAATATCATCGAATATCCCGAAGGTGTACTCACTTGACACTCTCGACACTCCTTTTGACACCGCTTTGAGACACGTTTGACACGCCATTCCCAGAGCTTTCGCACCTTGAGCGAGGTAGGGGACGGCAAGGCCACACACTTACGCCTCGGACTTGGCCATCGCCATCCAAACAGAATTCTCCAAGCAGCAAACATATTCTCCAATACTTTGACTGCTTTGACTGTTTAATGACTGTTTAATGACTGTTTAATGACTGTTTAATGACTGTTTAATGACTGTTTTGACTTGCTTCAAGGTTGGCCGCCCAACTCATAGGGCGAAAACAGGCGCTGATCATCTGGCCTGATTTTGAACTGCTCATGCTGCTGATATTCCAGCAAAGACATAACCAAACAATTCTTACAAGAATTGGGGATGCGGATGTTTCATCTTGGGTCACCCACTGCAGCAGCCATGCCAACACCTGAAGCTGTTGTGCAATGGCCAGAATGGCATCAATAGCTATACTCTCTTTGCTCTCCATGCACTGTAGGTTCTAGTTGGGAAAAGGTTTTGCAAGATCAGTGGACTGAGGGCTGCAGCTTTGTGACCGTATTTGTCAAAGCACAAATCCTCGATGTCCTGCATACTTTACATCAGGACCCAATGCACTAGCCAAAATTGTACAAAGAAGCCGAGAATTGAGTGCATTGTGAGTCTGTAAAAGTCTACAATGCATAATTCAACATTCTTCAACTCTCCAGCTCACGGCATCTCACGGCATAATTACGCCTGAAGCCATTCCGCAACCATGCTCTTGGAGAGCATCACCGTGTCATCTACAGTTGTGGCCAATCGAATCATGACCTTGGAAAACAATGCACGTTGAAGAATACGGTCATGACATGTCATGACAGGACCGTCATGACCGATTCCAATTCCGTCACGCTCCGTCTGTGCGACGGCACGCTCAGGACATCTCTTTTGCCAAGAACCAGACCACGTAATCCACCGCGTTTTTGGCTAGAGCAGCAAACTTACCCTTGAGATCTCTGCAAAGCGCCTCCCGTAATTGAAAAAATGTGACATGGCTGAACCCCGTGTCCAGCAGCTAAAACATCATGCCCTGCCTTTCGCTGCTTTGCATTGGCTATCCCCAAAAGTCTCAAAAGAGCCTCTCCAGCAGAAATATGAGATCTTGACAAAGCCTGATAAATACACAAGAGAACACGAAACAACAGCTGCTTGGTGTTCCTTGTAAGGAGTACTTCAAATTAAGCAAAGCTTGGGCGAACCTCAGCTCCAGCCTTCGATGACAAGAGATAAGCTGCACCATCCTGCAAACCCCAGTGCTTGTGCAAGGTCATTCTTGGTGGTCAGCTATGTGGTTTATGTCGGCAGTTTCTTGTCTGAGTTTAGCACCATGCACTGTTCTGCAAGCTGTGTAAGTTGCGAATCTGTAGCTACTTCACAGAATGCCTGGCGATTGGTATTGAGTCGCATCGATTGGCAATGTGGCAATGTTCAAATTCAATCAAATTCATGGAAGCAAAGATTGACCCCATGAACTGACTCACGCATCAACCCAACGCTTAAGCCCACCTGAAGGAGTAGGTGAACGATGTCTAGACCCAGCAATTCCTGTTTCATCGGGCATCGTTCGAACGCAGTGATACATTAG